CTTATTGCTTATTGGAAACATTCGAGTCGTACAAACTGCTTCACTCACATTAAAGCAACATTCTGGAATGCCTCTCTCTTTATGAGAAATAAAGATCCCTGCCCTTAGCACACACCTACACAAGGACACAGCAGACGAGTGTCTCCTGGAGTCTCATACGGCCACAACTGATACTGCGGTCCTACACAGGGCACCCTAACTGTCTCTCCATCTCCCTGTCTCCGTGTTGCCGAGGCTCCTCGTTGGCCATAAATTCTGTTCTATTTATGAGCATTTAATTTTTGTAACATTAATTTAAACATAACTGCCAGAACATAAATTAGCTTCCGTTTCAACTAATTATTCCACTCCGTTTCGGCTCTTCTCAGCTTTAGCTCCGCTCCCTGCCCACCCGTTGCTCCCTTTGCTTGGGTATTCGTGGCAATCGCTCAAGCATTAAAATTGTTGACTGCACAAGAGGCCCCCCCCTCCCAAAACAAACTAAATGCCCATGGCCCAAAAACCACATAAATTTAAATGAATCCCCAAATACCTATCGCAATCTCACTCCCTCTCTCTTTCTTCTTCCCTTTCCATTTTGGGGATTTTCTGAGCAGCACGTTTTATCTTTCTCCCTCCCGGTCATAGGGCTGGAGGGAAGAATCTGTGGATAGTTTTGTTCAGGGCAGGTGGGGAGTTCTTTAAGTGCCGTTACACATGAATCTAAATCCATGAATATAAATTTTGATCTGTTGTGCCGGCTGCCCCTTTTGAACTGCCTTCAAATTAGTTGTTCATTCAGGCAATTAACCAAAAATGGGGAGCCGCCAGGGCTGGGCAGGAATGGAAACAACTTTTCACCGGGATGGTATCTCTTTTGGACGTTCCACTTGGCTGCTTCGGTAGAACTGGTAGCCACATCGTAAAATAAGAAAACAAAGAAAAATTAAGAATTGTTGCAAAAGACACGGCACGGCACAAACATAATAATCATAAATATATCATGCAGTTAACTTTCAGACTGGCATAATAAAATCCAATTAAAACCCAAAGAAAGCTAATGTTTACGACCTGACACACAGTAAACGAGAAAGCACGTGTGAGACGCTTCTTACGCTTCACAACTTCAGTAGTACATCTGAATTTTAGTGTTTTTTTTTTTCAAATATTACATTTTTGTTGCATATGTCATCCACATCTACATAACTTTTCACGCCAACACGCTCTTGTCGTTCGCCCCACTCCCCAAGAGCCGCAGACCACACGAAGCAGAGTGTGGAACGATATAATGTGCATAAAACAAAAATAGTTGCTGGGCGGGGTGGGGGTCGCCACTGCAAATGAATGTCTTCATTCTGGATATTATAATGATCTAAGCTGATCCCAAGTCGGTGATCTGATAGATATGGTCATTTCCTACAGAATGGCATTTCTAGATTTCTTCTACTTAAAAAATTGTGGATACAGCAGATTTTCGCATGTTTGTAACAGTGGAGTATACAGCCCCATCTGGATGCAAAATTTGGTGGCTCTAGCTTTTATAGTCTCTAAGATCCAGGCGCTCAACAAGACGGACGGACAGACGGAGGAACTGAGGGACGGACGGAAGGACGGAAGAAAAGAACAAATGGCTACATCCACTTGGCTATTAATGCTGATCAAGAATATATATACTTTATTGGGTCGGAAACTCTTTCTTCTGTGTGTTACATTTTTCCCGCGCAAATACAATATATATAATAGCAGGGCTCATTGGAAAACTGCTATTTCTGTTAATTGAATATTAACTATACAATTTACTTATTGTTTAAAACAACAGATTGTTAATATAGAGAAAAAAAAGACAATATACCCTATTTACTCTTCGAGTACCGGGTATAAGAATGGTTGACCGGGGTAGCGAGAGGAGTGGCCGCGGCACTGCCAGTGGCAGTTTTAGGCAAGCTGTTATCCGTCTGTCGACGAACGCTTTGAGTTATGATAATGAGAGGCACTGTGTCTGCGACCCGGAAAACCAGGAGAACATAATCTATGTATGTGGATGCTGTGAGGGATTCAGGGGAATTTCGGTAAAATTTGGGGATCGAAATGAGGATGAAAAGGGGTGTAGTGTAGTGCAGTGCTTTTAACGAAATCGGTTTAAATTCTTAAGCAACACAAAATTATATTCTAAGGGAAAGACATTCCCATTCCGCTCTTTGAACAGTAATTCAGCTTCCACAACATCTGATGGAAAAGTAAAATTCGTTTAAATGTCACATCCCAGAATTTATTACAGAATATTTACCCAAACCTGAAATTCTTTTAACTGTAATAACACTGCTTTCTTTGATGTCGTTATAATGAATGTCTCTTTATTGTAAAATTGAACTTATAGCACTCCGAATATACGTGGGACCATATGCTGACGTTATAATTCGGGCGCCGGCAGTTGTTCCCAATTCCATGGATGGATTTTATAATTATAAGTAAATAATTATAAATGTATAATTTATAATTTATAATAAATAAATTATTATAATATTATGCAGAGATTTGGTGTTAGGGTGATGCTAGATTAGATTAAGCGAAACACTCTTCATCAGTACACTACATAACCAAAATTCCTTCCACTGATCAGCTAAACAGTTTCAATCTTCAATCCACAGTGGAATATGCCATTAAAGCTGTATTACTTTTGACTCGAATGCATATCACAACCCAACTTACAATAACTGAGAGCCAAAACCAAAACAGAAATCTTATCGCAACTGAAGTTTTTTCCCCGCTTCACTTTTACCAACCATATTTAGTCAGAGACAAAACGGTATTCAACAAGCAGCAGCAGCAGCAACAATTTCCAACTAACACGACATAATTCACAGAAAATTACAAAAAGCTCAGCTCCAACTCGCCCCTAACTTCTCCCACAGCGATGACTCCCTGCCCCTTGTCACGTGTCAGCGTAAATCTTAAAATTCGCCAAGCAGAAAGTGTTGCCTTTGTGGAAATTGAGTTGGCCCGCACCGACCAACAGCAGCAGCAGCCACGTCTGACCAAAGACTATGGGGTGGGGCGGAGCTTTGCACTTTATTATTTATGGCTGTCGGTTTGAGTACGAATTTATTTTATTTATGAAGCAAGTCAGCCAAGCGACCAGCCAGCCAAAAACAGTACAAGAGAAAATATCCAGCCGAATAGAAAGACAATCTCGAAGACCAAATGGCCAACAGACTGTGGTCGGTTATGGGCACTTTTCTGCAATCAAACCACACAGAGAAAATTCGAGTACTACTTGAGAATAAGCCTCTAGGGGTTCCCCTTGCCTTGCATTGGTGGGCAATGCCTAAAATCCTAAGAATAAAAATGAGTTATCTGTGGATCGGTATGAAAGATCTCTTCATTAGCTCAGTTACAAATAAATATGTAAGAAATGCACGTACATCTACCCTTTTCCTTGAATCACTCTTTCAGCAGACACAGCCCGCTGTTCAACCCCAAAATATGCAATACGATGCCCAAACACTTGCACTTTGGCTCCGTGAAACAATATGCCCCTTTCTCTCTTCTTTTCACTTCGCCTTCAACATTCCAACTCCAACTTTATGTCTGTGTCTTTTGTGCTCTGGCTCCCCTTTTGGACCACGTTCGTAGCAATTTTCGTGTCGGCTAATTAGCTTTGGGTGTATTGTTTATAAATTTATGACGCATGTTAAATGGGTTTAATTTATTAATGGCACTTTGACCGCACAAGAGTACCAGGGTTCCAGTTCCAGTTCCAGGTCCAGGTCTAGGTCCAAGACCAGAACCGACTCAAGTCGAGTGCTGAAGCTTTGGCCAATTGAATTTTCGTTTGTGAATTATGAGCATTATAAACATGAGCCGCTGTCGCGGGCTGCGCTCTTGGTCTTTGCTAGCCCTCTGTATGTGGGCCGACGACGACGAGATTTTCTGCGGCTAGAATGACGGTGCATTTTCTGACAGTGCTCTACATACTTGTGTGGTTAATTAGAGTCGCCTCGTGACAGGGCGCCAAAAGAAGAAGTTGAACGACTGCGACCGTTGTCGCCAGACAAGCGAGACCCAAATTAAAACTTCAAATCGTTGTCAGCTATTAGCCATTGGTGGGTCAGACGGTGGGTCAGACGACTCTATTTTAACGACAGTTAAAAGGGAAAGGGAAAGGCAATCAAGCAACTACCGATAATTGGAATTATAATGAAAAAGTAATCAAAATGCACACATCGTTTCATATGGTCAAGGGAAAGTTACTCAATAAAATATTCTTTTAAGACTTTCAAGAGTTTGCGCTTGCGTTTTGGAAAAGCCGAGCGGCAGTTCAGGCAGTTCAGCAGCTCAGATAGAGGAAACCAATAAAGGGCTCTCCCAAGTCTGATTGCATTTTTACACCCGGTACTCGAAGAGTAAATAGGGTCAACTGTATTTGTGTGGAAAAGTGGGTGTATGTAACGCAGAGAAGGAAATGTTTCCGACCCAATTAAGTATATATATTCTTGATCAGCGTCAATAGCCGAGTCGATTGAGCCATGTCTGTCTGTTCGTCCGTCTGTCCGTCCGTCTTGTTGAGCGCCTGGATCTCAGAGAAGATAAAAGCTAGAGCCACCAAATTTTGCATCCAGACTTCTGTATGCTCACACTGTTACAAGTGTATTTCAAAAACGAGCCACACCCTCTTCCGCCCCCGCAAAAGGGGAAAAACCTCCCTACAATTTTGAAGATAAAAGAAAACTAATAACGCCATTCTGTAGGGAATGGCCATATCTATCAGATCACCAAATCCGATTGAGGATTGGGATCCGATTGGATCATTATTATAGCCAGAATGAAGAAATTAATTTGCAGTGGCTAAACCCACCCTGTCCCGTAGCTGTTGTTGTACTTTTCACATTCTCTCATTCACACTCTGCTTCTGCTTCACTCGGCCCCTGATTCTGCCGCCCCTCTGCCTTTGCCTCTGATGACTTTTAACCCACCACGTCACGCAGCATATATTTGTTTTTCTCACATTCTCTCATTCGCACTCTGCTTCGGCCTCTGCCTCTGCCGCGAGTCTGCAGTGTGTGGATCTAGGGAAGCCCGGCAAGCTAAAGGAGCGCGTTCGTGTGAGAAGTGTTGTAGATGTAGATGAAAGATGAAGAAAAAATTTAAAATTTGACAAAACACCGCTAAGGTGCAGATGTAGTACTGAGTGCCGGGTAAAAATGTTGTGACGCGTCTCACACGTCCCTTCTCGTTTTTGTTGTTGTTGGAGCCTGGTGCTTCGATGCCGTGCCTGAGCCTTCGATTAGAAATGGCGATAATGTCCGATGGCGACAAAGTTTGCGAGGCGCCCAAAAACAGAGAGATGGAGGGAGAGAGAGTGAAAGTCGCCCATGTGCGCCCTGTCTGCAGTTTTTTAGAGGCGACGGCAGCCACCAGGCTTATCTGCACTTGTCTGCCACTAAATTATGATTTATCTGCATCTGTGGGTCATCGTGTAGCGCAGTTCCCCTACCAGTATCTCTTACTCGTGGTGGATATACTCGTATGAATTCCGGGGACTCTGTTTCGGTCAGTTTGATTGATGATCCCAGAGCGCTAATGAGCAGCAATTAATAAAGTCATGGACTTTGTTGACCGCAGCGGGATATACTCGCCATATATAGAGAGGGAATTTGAGGTATTTGAGGGGGAGGACTGAAGGCTGGGCAGGCAGGCAGGCAGCGACTTGTCGGTGTCCAGCTGAGTAATGACCCGCCACTATAATGAGGTTCGCATCGGGCATTAGGAAAGGGAATGGATGGATGGAGCGGAGTATCTTTGAAAACGGCAGGCCTGTTTGATTGATGCCCCTGCCGAGTGCAAAATATTTATTGGGAATTGGGTTAGCAGTTGGGGTGTATAAAATGATCTAGAAATTCTGATAAATGTTTAGGAAAATGTGGAAAAATAGAGGTTAAGGAAGTAGTTTCTGTCTAGTACCTATACAAAAAAGAATTATAAATAATTTAAAAACGAGAAGGGACATGTGAGACGCTTCTTACGCGTCACAACTTGTATATACCCGGTTCTCATTAGTACATATGTATATACGTTGCGTTTTTAGTTTCTCTTATCATCAAAATTGTGGATACAGGACATTTCACACTCTTACAAGAGTGTGACTGTATGCCATCTTGATGCAAAATTGGCGCCTCTAGCTTTTATAGTCTCTGAGATCCAGGCGCTCAACAAGACGGACAGACGGACGGACGGGCGGCTCTACCGACTCGGCTATTGATGCTGATCAAGTATATATGTATACACTTTATGGGATCTATAACGTTTCCTTCTGTGCGTTACATACAACCAATTTTCCCCACAAATACAATATACCCTTTTTACTCTTCTAGTTCCGGGTATAAAAAAGCTGTTGAGCTACTAAGCGTTTTTAATAGCTGTTGAATGTTTAATAAAAATGCCGAGAGGGTTCAATGCAAGAAAATGTACAAATTATTTAATAGCGATTTGACGAGTATGTACAATGTTATGTGTAGATGTACCAGTACTATTAGACGTAGATGTTAAGCGTATATGGGTTTAATTAGTTGTGGAGCTTCTGTACGAAGACAGAATAACTAAGGGCAGGCTGGAGAGATCGACGAAGACACATATTATATTATATTATATAATATTATATTATATTATAATATATTATATTATATTATATTATATTATATTATATTATATTATATTATATTATATTATATTATATTATATTATATTATATTATATTATATTTTATTATATTATATTATATTATATTATATTATATTATATTATATTATATTATATTATATTATATTATATTATATAAATAGACATCTTTTAGCCCTTTCCTTTCTCTCCTGTCCCTCCGCCCGATGAAGAAAACGCCCTTGGAGACAGCTGCAACTCTAACCACGAAAAAGTAAATGGAAAAAGAAATATATCCTAGTTATGTAAATGAAATGCGCTCTGCAATTGCTCTCGGCATTCCGTATTCGGGTTTCGTCCCACCTCCATGGGATGTATGTACATATCTATATTTTTGGCGCAGTAGTTTGAAGGCGAATCGCGTGCAAATATAATTTATGGAGGCCATCAACAACCCTTAAAGCTGAAATGATATATGGCGTGCCGGAATGTCTGGCATCCCAGAGCCACAGTCGGACTCATACTCGGAGTCAGAGTCAGAGCCAGAGAGCACAGAATAGTCAGGGCCAAAGTCAGAGTCGCAGGCAAAGGCAAGGCGCAAGTTAACCCAAAATACAAAATATTTTACGGCCACAATATTTTTCGCACTCAATGTCGTCTGGAGAGATAGGGTTGTCCGTAAGAGAGAGAGTGTCGAGCACTTTTCGAATTGAAATCTCGTTTTGGCTGGCGCTAGAATTTTTCAAATCAATTGCTCCTCGGTTTCAAAGTGATTATCAAAAAAGAATGATGAAGAAAGATTATCAAAGTGGGGGCATGGGGGATACTGCCACAGGACTGCCACCGACTGCCGCTTGCTTGCCAAGAGCTAGCATATTCTAGAGGACCCAACACAAATTTCACATCAATCTTGTGTCCAGCGTTGCGTTAGAAGCAACGAAAAATATTCATTTTGTAATACACGGTACTCGAAAACTAAATAGAGTATATTGTATTTGTGCTCGAAAGTGTACACAGAAGGAAACGTTTCCGACCCAAAAAAGTAATTATATACTTAATCAGCATTAACGTCTTCTTTGTCGGCTAGTTTTTAGAGACTTTAGGAGCTAGAGCCACCGAGTTTTGCCTCCATTTTGATGTGAAATCACTCTAATAAAAGTGTAAAAATTAGTCCCGCCCCCTTCCTCCACGACAAAGGTCGAAAGCTAAAAACGCAATTGAACCAGGAAGGAAGGAAGAATCTATCATGTCACCGAATCGGGATTAAATTGGATGATAATTATAGCCAGAAGCTATTCTTATGCTTGCTCTTTGTTGACATTCCTTGTCGCTCGCACACTCTGCCTCATATAGTGTGCGTTTCAGGGGAAGGTGGTAAGATAAAAGGGCGTGTTGACGGGAGAAGTGATGTATGTAGATGTAGATGATAGATGTAGAAAAAATTTGAAATGTTTAATTTGAAAAAACCCACTAAGGTGCAGATATACTGACTGAGTACCGGGTATAAAACTTGTGCCTCATACGAAGCGTTTCACAAATTTTCTTGCTTGTTCTTTTGTTCCTCTACCCAACAAAAACAAATCAAAACTTGAATCAAGTCTTGCGACTTGGCTGCTTGTGAAAATGATTAATGGCTCGCTGCCAGCGCCATAGTCGATGAGTGAGGAGGGGTTGCGGGAACAGTTGGACAGGAACTTTGATGGAATGAACTAGCCAGAGGGGCTTGCCCCTAAGCCACTTCACTGCATGATGTCGGATGGGAGTGTACTGTGGTTTGTGTTGTGATTAACTAGTGGTGTAATTGATTTATCTAAGTTATTTGCAAATATAATGTATGAGTGTGCCATGGGTGGGAGTGGAAAGAGTTTGGAGTGGGGGTTTGAATTTTATTCAACTAACAAAACTAAACTATTTTGCTTATCATTTGGTTGCCAGATTTTTGCACTATGAAATTCCTTTCAAAGTCAATGTGTAACTTAATGTGATAATTTCAAAAACGACGGGAAGGGACGTGTGAGACGCTTCTTACGCGTCACAACTTTTATACCCGGCACTCAGGACTACATCTAGATGTAGAAGACATCGCCAACCACTAGATATCGTTCACATTACAAAACACGTAGTAAAAAGCCTACGAAATAAAATGCATCAAAAAAATTGGACCAGTTAATCGTATTTTCCAATTTATGAGATATTTAAAACAGAAATAATATTGGTACTTTTTCCCTGCACATTCTGTACAATAATGACCGCTAGGTTTCACAGCAGATTTTTCGAAAGTGGCGCCATCTATGCAAATTTCTCGTACGCAACTTTGATGGTCACTCTTTTTCTAATACAGAGCGTTAAAAGCGTGTCTTGGTTTTAACTTTTAACAGCCAAGTGCTGCTGTTCGACCGAGTCGGAATTCAAATCAATTTAATCTCTTCTTCTTTTCAATTTCGATATTCACCTATTAAATGCATGTTCTTCCTCATTCTCTATCGTATTCACATATCACATGTATGTTCTATAGCAACAAGCTTCTGTCAGTGTGTCGTAAATGCAACAATTCAATAGCTTAATGCTACAAATTCATTTTACTTATACAAAATACTAATTGCTCCGGGCCATAATTTGGCTAATTGGCGTAAACAGCCACCAAAACTGGTCATTGGGACAATAGTGCATCTGCACCTCAGCGGTGTTTTGTCAAATTTTAAATTTTTTCTTCATCTGCCATCTACATCTACAACACTTCTCACACCAACACGCTCGCCGCCCTTCCCTAGACCAACATACTGCAGACTCGCGTCAAAGGCAGAGGCAGCGACCGCACACAAAAAAAAACAAATATAAGCTGCGGACGGGGTGAGTTAAAAGACGGTTGGGGCAACGGGAGGTGGTGGGCAGAGGCAGGGGCCGAGTGAAGCAGAAGCAGAGTGTGAATGAGAGAATGTAAAAAGAGCAACAAAAGCTGCGGGACAGGGTGGGTTTAGCCACTGGAAATTAATTTCTCCATTGTGGCTATAATAATGATCCGATCGGATCCCAATTTGGTGATCTGATAGATATGGCCATTTCATACGGAATGGTTTTTAGTTTTCTTGTATCTTCAAAGCTGTAGATTTGGGGGGTTCTCGCCCTTTTGCGGGGGCGGAAGGGGCGTGGCTCATTTTTGAAATACATTGGTTTCAGTGTGAGTATACAGCAGTCCGGAGCCAAAATTTTGTGGCTCTAGCTCTTATAGTCTCTGAGAACGAGCCGACAAACAAGACGGACAGACAGACATGGCTCTATCGACTCGGCTATTGATGCTGATCAAGAATATATATACTTTATGGGGTCGGAAACGCTTCCTTCTGTGCGTTACATACAACCGTTATTCCCCACAAATACAAAATACCCTATTTACTCTTCGAGTACCGGGTATAATAAACACCCGAAATATTGGCAAATAGTCAACTGCTAATCCGTTCCCATAATCCACAAACTTGCAAGCACCACAGGAAATAAGGATACAAAACAACATAATCTTAACAATGCAATTAAACAGATACCGCACTCGGCATCCTCTTTTCCACACGACCAAAAGTCAGTGTTTCCCCCTTCCCTACAACCAACTCGCAAGTTATCAAGTTATCAAGTGAGGTTAGAAGTGCACCCTCAACGCCCAAGGCTCCCACTCCTCCAAAAACTCGTAGTCTCACCTCTAGCACCGCCGAAACGTCATTTGCGCTGCTTAAAAGTTGATTCGATAAGTTTTACACCGCAACCCAAACGAAAATGTGGAGAGAGCCCAGACTCTGCAGCGTAGAACGAGCCAGGAAGTTCCAACAGACAGGGAGAGGATGCTAGGAAGCATGCCGACGTCGACGCTTTCGTTCTTGGCCCTGACACACACACAATTAAGTATAATCACCTAAACACACAATTAAGCAGAGGCACTCGCACAAACACTTGCATAGAAGCAAAAACCCCCCGGCACACACATGGACCCACATGGTGAAAATTGGCATGGGGTACGGGGCACGGGGCATAACCTGCTTGCATCGTCTCGGTGGTTTCGGTCATCGTCGCCATACAATTTCCGCAAGTCGTAAAAGTCGGTAATTTATACCTTTTGCCCCATATGCTATGGCATGGTAATTTGTTAAGTAGAGCTAAAATAATTGCTCGTATTTATAATTTACACATTTGGCTGGGAAATTTATCGTCGCGCTGAAAGTGCGCTAGATATCGCCCCAACACACACAAACACACACTCAGAAACAGATACTGTACGTAGAACCGGCCCCAAAGCAGGACTCTTC